GTGAGCTCCCCCGGTTTTACTATAGCTCCTAACGCGACTATGGAGATCGATAATGGCATCACAATGCTCTTTGGCCGCGAACTCAGGAAAGCGAAAATGATGAATTCACCTTCATATTATAAGGATCTTCGCCTTATAGAGGATAGCATGTGCCAATTAGAGCGAGCTTTTCGAAGTGAATACACAAAGGCACTTGCGAAACATGAAGAATGGAATAAAAATCCAGAAAATGCTGGTAAACCACGTCCGATTTCAATAAACGAAGAGCTCGCTAGAATTGATCAACAATATATTCAACGATTCTTCGAGACCCCACCAATTTCCGAGTTCAGTAATGAACTGTTTAAAAATGCTAGCGACGAGTATTCCCAAACTACAATCATTAATTTAAAAGCGAGTGCCATTTACACGTGGAGCTTCAAAAATGGAGGCCCAACCAAAGTATGTTGTTGGAAGTTGGCCTTTCGAGCTTTATGTAACATAAAGGCCTGTAGCAACCAGCAAGAAGAAATGAGTGCTTTGAAAACACGCACCGTGTATGGTGGACCCCGTCATTTACCTGAAGATATATGGAAAACTCAGAAATTGGATAAACGATGGGTAAAAAATGCAATAATTCACAAGTGATTTTATATAATGATTATTCATGCACGAGACAATTTGGTAATATTTTACGCACGTAACGCTATCGTTTTATAATAGGAACAACAACCGCAACAAAAAGTGATAAGCAAGGTTTAGATGAATTCGAGCAAGATGATGGCACATGAGGAATACACCTTTTCAAAACACAATTTAGACATTTTTGAAATTAGATCCTATGTAAACATGGGATGTAAATAAAATGTACATTTTAGTTTTTTTTCGCGTCACTCCTAAACCACTCGACATTGTAAATAAATAAACCCGAGTAAAAAATAAATTCTCAAGATAATTTGAATGCTAGTTTATTTTGTGCAGTCATTTTGTAACCGCAAAATGGAAGGATAAATGATATTTTTTACATAATAAACAAAAAAAAATTGACTAATTTGTACATTTTGAGTGATAAAAATACATGTACGTATAAAATAGTCAAATTTCTAATATATCTAATTGTCATCTATGATCCAACTTGCCTGACCCCATATATAATATCCAAGAAACTATACAAATTATTATTTTCGAAATAAACATCATAATTATCATCATCATCATTCCATACTGATGAAATTTGTATTTCCATTATTGTTATTTGCATTCTCATCATTGCTATTAATACTGATGTATTCAAGCGCTTCAGCGATTCGCCTATAAGTAAATAGCGTAATAGGTAAATGTTATAAGTTTTTAAAGTACAGCCCACAAAAACACTATTCATTTTCTAACAAACGTGAAGATAAACCAACCAAAAGAAGTGTTTTTTTCCATCTCTTTCGACTCTCTCTATTAAATTGGCACGTTCAAACACCTTTCTCTGATTCTCATGCAATTTCACAAAGTACACATCAACATCTCGTTTTTGATAAGCTTCGACAATTTCGACCAGAATCAAGGCAGCACTGGGCAATATAAAAATTGTTGAATATCACTCGTCGGTCTATTAAATCATCAAAGCGTATCTTCTTTTATCATTTGATCCATTCTTACCTCGCATCTAAATTTTCCATGGTTTCAATGTCGAATATCACATTCTTCACTGGTGACATTCGCGCTTCTTCCGAAGGGTGAACGTTCATATCACCAAATTCTTCAAGACGACGTAGCCGATCTTTCAGCTGACCAGTATTTGCAAAATACAATGGTTCTTCTATCTTCACAACCAATACACCTTTAATGTGCACAGCTTGTTCCGGGAAATCCTTGATTCGTTTGAACCGATTGGAGCTTCCAACGCGGCCCTAAACGCAGATAAGGTATCAACATAAAAAGTCTAGGATCGATTGAAAATAAAACACAACAAATTTACCAAGATTGTGATCCTAGGATATGTCGAATGTTTCACCACTAATACTAATGACAGAGCAATCGAAATAAGTGTGCCATATTCGATGGAAACAAAAATTGTGACGAAAAAGCACAACATCAGCAAAGCCAAGTCATTCCAAGCTTTGATTTTATACATGAATCGCAAGTCGTGCGGTGTTTCCGATAATAGAGATAAAGCCGCCACGCACACGATGGAACCAAGAACCGCATGCGGAAGATAATAAAAACAAGGCAAAAGGAAAAACAGGCAGAACAAGACAAACAATGCGGTCACTAATCCTGAAAATTGAGTTTTCGCTCCTGCACGATCATTAATCCTGCTCCTTGCCATTCCACCGTACGCCACAATGCATTGGAAAAAGCTGCCAACCAAATTCGCCGCACCGAGCGCCACCAATTCCCGATTGGGACTGACCGCATAATTATGCTTTGTCGCATAAGTTTTCGTGACCACGATCGATTCGACAAAACCAACAATCGAAATTAAAACGGCGGTCTCGAAACAATCCTTGAATTGTGGGACTGTAGGCATCTTGGGAATTGCAAATTTCGGGAGTCCGCTGCCTTTTATGCCTCCTAATATTACGAGATTTTCAGATTCCCAGTCAAAGTATTTGCACATAATTGTGAATATGACGACACAAATAAGAATTTCGGGAACAAATTGAGCTGGGGGATATCTTGATGATAATTTTGATTTTATTAGGCGGAACGTCAACAAAAAAGTAAGACTGCCTAATGATACAAGCGCGGTCAGTCGGTGAATCCCTTCCAGATTCTCTATAATGAATAGGCATTTGTCGTAAGTTGATGTCGCATGAGTGATCTTATGATGTTCCGCCATTTTTGCTAGTCCAAGCATAGGAATAAACTGTTCCACTATAATCACGAAAGCCACCGCGGTGATAAATCCACGTAGCAAAGGTCGAGACAAAATTGAATCCAAGAATCCGAGACGAATTAATCCGAGCAACAAGGTTAGAATCCCGACAAACATTGTGACTAATGATGCCAGCATAACGGCAGTTTCAGCTTGATCAGTATCATCATCGTGAGGAATGTATTTTTGTTGTGAAGCCACCGACGAACCAACAAGCATTGCAACCATCGCCTCGGGACCGATAGATAATTGTCTGACGAATTTTAGTATTAGTAGAAATCAAATTAATTGAAACGCGTGGCTTGATTCTTCTTATTATTCATGTCTTTTCCTTACCTTACCTTGAAGTTCCAAGAAAGGAGTACACTATACCAGAAATTACGATTGTATATAGACCGTGAACTGGTGGTACTTTGGCAAGCACCGAATACGACAGTCCGGACGGTAGTAATATAGCAGTTACGGTCAACCCGGCAATAAAGTCATTCCAGAAGTATTTAAGGGAATAAGAAGGAAGCCAACTGAAAACCGGGATATAATATTTTGCCCTAGTCTTAAATGTAGTCCAATTATCTTGAATTTTACCACCGGTTTCAATAGAAGAATCTTGAATGCGAAAAAAAAGTGATGAATTATCAAGCGCTGAAAATATGCATAGATAGAAATAAAAAACCCATACATGGTAAGGAGTCACTTCTATTTGAAAGAGCATAACCTCTTAGCGGCGTAGTTTCGTGTAAACTGTCATCGTCGTCAGATTCATATTGAGGCCCTGTGTACGTTAAATAAAGAGAACGAACGTTGAACCGTTGGATATTTTCACGGAGTCTTGTGACCCGTTACCTAAAAAAACTGTATTCTCACCTAATTCAATAGGAGTCCCAGCGCGCTTTGGGAAACCCAATTCGACTTCGACGGGTGTTCGCGACATTGATATATAATTACCTTCGAAAGAGAAAAGTAGGAGATATCGTGAAGGCACAAAAAACAGCAATATGGCGTCTACCCATAAATAAGAAAATTTCAAGGGGCACCATTGTTTTTTCGACGGTTAGCGTTAGACAAATCAAGAATTTTTTTTGATTAATTGTCTGTGATCTATTAAGGCAGATGAATAATATGATTGTCAAATATTTTATTTGGCGGTTTGACTTTATGATATCATTGAAAACGTTCCCTAACGATACGTCGAAATTGCGCAATGTTTGAATGAATGAATAATCATTCAAAGTTAGCGCTGGTACTCATTATCCGATAAGCAGCCTATTTTGGCGTTAGCGGGAAAAATTGGAACAATTAGTATTGCAAGCACGGCTGGATTATATTTTTGTAGCCGATCCGTCAAGCCATTCAGCCAGCCACAGACAGATAAAACATTTCCTAATTTGGCCAATTACACATGCCTGTATCTCAAACCATGAAAGGTAAGAGAAAGTTTGTGTGCATTGATAATGTTGTGCGCTCAGGATTCTTAGTCATCCTTTCGAAGTCTCTCGTGGAAAAAAAATTAGAAAATAACAACAAAAATTTCGATTCTGTTTGCGGCCATGCTATACCATGTGCTTTTTTTTCAGATGTATGACTTATTGACATGCGCTCGTGTTGAAAACCGGTCGCTCAAATGATTTATTAATAATTTGATTGGTTGTATTTTAACCAATAAATGAAATTTTTAACTATTCTATCAAAAAACCCATTAATTAATAGAATTATATATATATTTTCAAACATTTTTAAACACCCAAAGTTCAATTATTATCGTTGTTAAAATAGAATTAATTACTTAATATTCAGCACCAAAAATATTCGCGGCAGATTGTCGGTGCTGAGATTGAGATCTAAATGGTAAGGTGTTTGCATGGAATGGTTGATATGGCACGATACTTGATGTACTTGAATCAGGAAAAGATGATGACGATAAACCAGAATAAGTAGCGATAGCAGATTGTGGATCATTGAAGCTAAATGATCTGGTAGATCGTCTAAATGGATTACTATCTAACGGTAATAATTGATTATTATCAATCGTAGTAGTTGTATTACTTGTCGTAGTCATTGCCGTGAATGGATTTGTTTGGTTAAGCGGAGATGAAATTGACGTCCCCTGAATAGATAACGCCTGTTGCTGTTGTTGGAATGGATTATAATTCATTGATTGAGGAGTTGACACAATCGTTCCAATCGGTGACGATGTGGAATTTGTCATTGAAGATTGTGAGTACAATGATCTAAATGGGTTGGTATCTTGTCTGACAGGTATATGTGGTTGTGGTTGTGGTGATTGTTGCTGCAATGTTAATTGATTCAATTGTTGTTGTAATAAAACTTGATCATTAATCTGTTGTTGCTGTTGCATAGCCAAGAATGGATTTGTAGTGGAAACAGTATTGTTGTGACCTAACGAGCCTGTTCCATATTGATTCCCAAATATCAAAATTTGTTCTTTTTCAATACTTGAAAAATAATCAATTATTTCCTTTTCTTTCAACTGGGGTTGAGGGGAAGTAGTTAACACATCTACGAAATAACAATTATTAGCAAAAAAAAATTAATTAATAATATATATACGCGTGTTCAATAAAAAAATTGACATACTACTAGTAAGGTTTTCCGAGGAGACAAAAGATTTATTCAAATCAGCTGATTTTATAGGCGCAGCTGCGGTGGTAGTAGTTTTAGTCGCCTTATTGTCAATTAATTTTTTAGTCACGGTAGAATTCAATAATTTTGAGGATCTATATTCTTGTCGATTTTTTTCAAATTCTGGATCATTTATGTATTCTTCAAGAAAAACCGTCAACGATACAGGAGCCTGAGAACGCACATTTAAATTTAGACACACTTATAAATAAAAATGTTCTCATCATCTAACAAACGATAAATCAAGAATAATAGGAATTTATGTTTAACTCACATGTTTGAGATTAGGAATAGTCATTTGAAGCGCAGCTTGCAATTTTTTTGCCACGCTCAAGTAGTCCACAACTCCCTCTGTTTGCTTCACAAATGTACGATAAATTTCTAGTGCATCTTTTGCGTCAATTAGCGACATTTCAATATATTGTTCTAAATGCAACGGCAAATATGAATTTAACTTAACACCCTTTGTTACCAGAATACATCGATACATTACGTTAATAAAGCGTAAGCAAGCACCCACCTACCCAAAACATTTATAACTCCTTCATTCACCACTTGAAAAAGATCCAATAAATCCTTGACAAGTAATCGGAAAGCTGTCAACGTCACCTCATTATCAACTTCATCCAAGAAAAACTACCGATAAAAATACGGGAATTATTAACAAAATATATATATATATATATAGATGATAACGATGATGATGATAATAATCATCATCACAGGGGTAAAGAACCACCAACCTTGCATTTCAAAAGTGCACCCAATTGACGCTGTAGAAGTTTAACTTCACGTAACAGCCCTTTAGCAACGGTGAGCTTTCTCAGGCGACCACCTGATGCATCAGATCGAGAGTGCTCTTTTATGAAATCTAATTTTAATTCACGGTAAGTTCCCGCTCTTTCTTCCAGATACGCGGCGTATGCATGAATATTTTTAGACTGCTCGACGTCTATTCAACGAACACCACATCAAACATTAATTAATAAAATGGAAAATGTTAAATAAAAGAAAGATGATTCATTCCTTTAAATTTATTTAACACTAACGCTGTGAACCGGATTTATCCTTGAACTTTGAAACGTTCATCATCGTTGGTCTATCCACCAAGTAGCTCAAAGCTCTATTCCCGGATACCTGTCTTACTAGGAGGTGTATGACTATGAGGCTCTTAAAAACTATCTAGATTTCAAAGAATTTTTATTTAAGCTATTTTCCGAGATGTCATGACTGAAATCCACAAAACACGATCAAAAGAACTTACCGACCACGAAGGTTCCCGCAAACGATAGTGCAGTACGTTAAAAATTTCTTCCAGTTCGTCGTCCGACGTCGCGCCCAGAAGCACTAATGAGATGTTCAAACGAACAAAAGTCAAATTGATGCGATTTGATCAAATCTAAGAAGAAAGGCGTGTGTACCTTGTAGGTATTTTTGTTTTGGAGCGGCGCTTTTTGGTTTGGTGGCACCTCGAACCGCTTTCTCCATGGCGATATGTCTGTCTTTGTGATGCGCAATGTTCTGTTTTGTATGAAAGGAAGGTGAAAGTGTAATAAACTCTACACCGTTGGTCTTGTGTGTGTAAAAATAATTAAAACAAAAGGTTTAAATTCCGTAAACAATCGGAAACGCATGATTGATGGTGGTTTTGATTGATTTCCATTCGGTTATTTCAATTTTCAATTAGGTTAAGAATTGATGATGATAAGTTTGTAGTACACACAAAATTATAAAAACGTGATCGGATTTCTTTTTATTAAATAAGTAAAGATTCAAGACAAAAAAATCACATACGGGACTTTAGAGTAACCTTAACAATAATACAAAAAAAATCTCGTTGTACATTATATGAATACATGAATAGAAAATGGATATACATGAATGGACAAAGAATTTATTATGTCTATTCTATTCATAATAATAATAATAATAATAATAATAATAATATAATAATAATCATAATCATAATAATTAACAACAATAACAAATCAAAGAAAATTCAGCTCATTTTCTTATAGATAAATGATATACAGATATTTTTTGAAAATATATTTAAATATCAGAGAGATGATTTAGATAAAAGTGTAGTGTAAGTTAGAAAGCAAGTGTAAATTCGATAAGTAAATTCAATGTATGTATCCACAAGCCAAGATGAGTGAATGTATAACTAACGGCAAAAAAAAAAAAATACAAGATGTAAAAAAAGTATTAAAAAATACATTTATGCTTAATAAATATTATTATTATTTGTATTATTGATATTATAACTATTATTATTATTGTTGTTGTTGTTATTGTTATTGATCTTTTTTGGTGGCTTTGACGACGATTGGGACTACATGAATGAATAATTGAAAGAAGGATGTAAGCAAGAGAGATCTCAAAATCCGAGACATTTCTTTGATATCAAAAAAAAAAACTCACCAATAATTGCAGTCAACAAGATGAGCACAACGATTGTAAGGATAATTTTCATTTTCATATCTTTCCACCACATTTGTTTGCGTACTTTGTTGGCTCCACGTCGGAATCCTTGGGCTGACTGGGAGAGATTTTCTATTGATGAAAAGAATGAATGGTAAGAATCATTAGAATTAACAAGTGAATGGATTCTTTTTATCAAGAAAAAAAAAATTCAAAAACTTATTGATTTTGATAATTAAGGCGTTTTCTCGCCGCTTACCAGTCTTATCCTGTAATACATCCAATCTTTCTCCTCGGTCTGCAACACGATTAATATTGTCTCGCATAATGCCTACTGTCTCATCGATTTTCTGTTGAATCATTTGAGTTTTAGCTGCACCTGGTTCACCATTTGGTGCATTGCCTTTTGGGATGTGTGGGTCATATTGGTCAGACCTTATTATTGTATTTTAAAAAAGAAAATGAATATTTGGGTTAATAGTTAATTCATCATTAAAATAAAACGAATATATCCCTCTTCCTTCTCTTATTGTTGTTGTTGTTGTGGTTGTTGTTGTTATTGTTATTATTATTATTAACGTCAATTTAGATTTAGTGGAAAAGGCATATATATTTATACAGGACCCTTTACGAATTTATTTTTTTGTTTAGGAGTTTCTCGTAACATAACACGTTGAACACACATAGAAACTGACATCTGTTTATCGCAATATGTAGATGGCTTTGAAGGGCGTCTCAAAAGAACTTTATATAAACTCGTGCAATGAAAGATTAAAAACAATACACTCGTTTTTTTTTAAAGCGAATTCCGCAATTGCGATAAACTAATATCTGTTCTTCAACAAATAAGTAACCCATAATACGTACATTTTCAAGTTTTTTTATTAACGAGTTGTTGGTTGTTTTCGCAAATATACCGTAAAAAGAGAAAATATTAAATCTCTAAATAGTTTAAAGTAAATAGTTAAAAAAAAACCAGAAATGTGAAACTTTATAAGCACGGTTAGTTATTATTAAGCAAAAGAGGTGTGGGTAAACATCAGGGTGAGGTAAGAGAATATATAGAACAAAAAAAAGGGTGCAAATATATTGGTATTGCAAAAATAGAGTTCTATGTCGTGTTTTTTGTATTTATACTCTATATGAAAAGAAAGGTGATACTATATATTACTGCAAGAACAAAAAGTGATAACGGGTGATTCTATGATTCTGATTGATTATTGTTTATCGTTATTGCCGCGACATAAATGTCTCTATTTATATATTTTCCTATTATCGTTATTTCTATTTTTTTGATTTTTCTATTTTTTCTATTATTTATTTAATGATGTAATGACGATGATCAATAACGTATCGGTATCGGTATCAGGGTTCCCGGGAGTCGATACATTCGGGGTGTATTAGAAACAAAACATAGGGGTAATCAATTTAAATTTAAATTTTCATGTATCACATTAATTCAATTCTAAAAATCTAGTCTCCGTCGTTATTATTAACATTAATCGGTACCGTAAGTTCGTAAATTAACACGTATTTTGTGCTTTTCTTTTTTATTATGAAACAACACGCTATATGCTATATGTTGATTGAATCGTTCGCCAATAAGAAATTATTTGAAACGTGACCTTGTGAATTAGTTCATGTAAATGATTATGCATCAACTAACACACATTTGGTATTATTTTTATAAAAATTGTCAATATTTAAAGTCCCAAGAACTGATATTCACACTGCATTTAAAAAAAAATTTAAAAAGCTTTTTTTAAATGCATTATAATGGAATTTCTTTTACAATAACGATCAACAATTTTAAATTTTGTATTACGTTCCATAGGAAAAATATTAAAGCCGATTAGTACGATATAATTCGTGGTGGATTGACAAATACAGTCAGATCTATACAGTGGCAATCAAAAGTAATGCAACGCTTAAATTAGTAAAAAATTTAAGCCTTACATTACTTTTGATTATCACTAGTTATTTGGAAAAAAATTGGAGATCTAATTATAAAGTGATTTTTTATTATAGTTAATTAATATAATTAAATCTCTTTATAATTATCATATTTAAAAAAGTAAAATTAGATAATTAAAGAAAGTTATAATTATAAGAAATTTTTTTAATTATAATTAATAACTAGAAAATTCAAAAAAGATAATATTACAAGTTATATTTAAGAAAGTAAATTTTATCTGAATTATAGCTTATAATAATAAGTTATAATATTAAGTAGAATTAAAGTTATTTTAAAAATTTTCATATATTAATATTTATAAGTATTATATTAAATTTATAAAATAAAAATAAAAAAAGAAATATAATTACAAAATATAAAAATATCAAGAAATTTTAATTTTAATCTTCTTTATTATTTTTTCAAGTAAAAAATATAAAAATCAATATAAAAATTAAAATATATATATTAAATAATAAATTAAAACTTTTTATTACTTAAATAAAACTTGCAAATCTTTTTGATTAAATAAAACAAAAAAATAAAACTTATTTAAAGTTAAAATCTTTAATTATTTATATTTTTAAAACAAGAAAAATAAATATTAATTAGATATAATCTATTATATTAAAAAAAAAATAATTATAAAATCATTAAATTAGAATTTTCAAATATATTTATTTCAAATTTTCAAGTATTAATATTTATATATACTTAAAATTATATAGAATTATTAATATTTATTAGTTATTACAATAAAAATTATATAAGCATTTAATAAAATTTTCATAAAAGATTAAATTAGAATTTTATAAATAATTAATAATTAATTAATTAATAAAAAACTAATAAATATTATTATCAATTTATTTTTTATTTTTAAGTTATAATTTTAGTTATATTATTTTATCTTATCTTATTTATTTCTTAATAATCTTTGTATTTTTTTATAAATTATTTTTTATTATTCTTTATTAATTATTAATTAGCATAATTATTTTTATTTTATCTATTTTTAGTTTTTATCATATAATTTTATTTTTTCAAATATAATAATTATTTAAATTATTAATTAAATTATATAGTTTCTGATAAAAGTAATAATGATAAATATTTTTGCTTATATTTTAATAATAAAGTATCTAAAACTCATAAAAATTTGTAAATATAGTCAAATCTTTTTATAGTCACCCTTTCTATAGTCACAAACTCTATATAGTCACATTTTTTCAATAACTAACTTTTTTTATTATTATTAAATTACTCTTTTTATAGACATAATTGATCTATAGTTACTATCACACTTTTTTAATAATAAATATAATAAAATGACTCTTATATAGTCATGTTATCATATAAATTTTTGATTAACTAATAATATTTAGCCACGTATAACTAATTAATCAATATCTATTTTAACATACGTATATACTGTATATAAATCTTGTACTTATACTATTTTTTCCAAAACCCTAACCAATAAAAACTTATTCTCTGATTAATGAAAATCTATCTTAATAAACTCATGATAAAAATACATAAAAACCTATTTTCTAACAAGCTCATAATAAATAAAGATACTTTCCTAATTCTTAATTAATAAAATAATTCTCTTATAGTAATAATAATAAGATTTTCTCATATTAATTAATTAGCATTTATATTATGATAAGCTAAAAATTCGCATTTTATGATTATTTTTTGCAATTATATCTTCTCAACTCATATCTAAAAAAATGTATAGTTATATCAGCGATGTCCAAAAAAAAGAGATATGTAAATTTGTTAAGAAAAATCTCTCCTATAAACACCATGAAATAGCAAATAAGTTTATAAATTATTATCTAACTTTGAATATTAATCACTCAACTGTATCAAAAGTATTAAAAAAAGCTGATCAATATCATCAACTTGATAATGTATAAACTGAAACAACTTTCTACTATCATTCTATGAAGTATCTAATATTAGAATTTGCCATGAATATGTGGATAGAATGGATTATAGCCAGAGAAATAATTATATCAGACTTATTAGTGAAAGAAAAAGATCATTATTTTGCATAAGAACTTGCCATATCTGAGAAGTCTCTTATATTTTTGAATGGGTGGATTAATAGATTTAAAAAGTGTAATAGATTAAGAAAAATCATAATGCATGATGAAGTAACAAGTACTCTCTTAAAAAATTTATTTGCAGAACATATGAAATTGCAAGAACTTCTTTTCCATTATAATTCAGAAAATATTTATAATACTGACAAAATAAGTTTATTCTACCAATTACTTCCAAATCAAACACTTTCTAAGAAACTAATACCTAGAAAAAAAAAGATAAGTTAAAAAAAATGATTTAACTAATTAGCTAATTTAAATGATTTAATATCTTTTTTTTAGGATAAAACAAGATCAATCATTCTACTTTATGCTAATTTAACTAATTCTCATAAGCTTCATCTGCTTGTTATTAGTTCTACTAAGAAATCATGATTCTTTAATAAGATAAATTCATTACAATTACTCATGATATATCAAAATAACCAAAAAATATGGATAAAAAGTAATATTTAGAAGTAATAGTTATATTATATCAATTCTGATTTTTGCATCTAAAATAAGTAAGTCTTACTTCTTGTTAATAATGCAACTTCTCATACAGTTTCAGAAGCAAGTAAAAATCAAGATGATACTGATGAACTACTACTTGATAATGCTAATTCTGATGTCAATAATGACTCTAGCGATATTGAAAGATCTCAAGAAAGATCTCAGGAAAGATCACAAGGAAGATCACAGGAAAAATCATAAAGAAGCTTTTGAAGAAGATTTAATTTTACCTATTCTGACCAATCAAGACAAATTCCAAACTATTTTCACCTCACAAATATCAACATATATTTTTTTCCATCAAATATGACCATTCATCTTCAACCCATGAATACTGGCATTATAAAAAGCTTCAAGACAAAATATAAAAACTTATACTATTATTATTTGATGATCTAATTCAAGAAAAATAAGAATCTAGAAAGATAAAAATTAATTTTATCATTATTATTTAAAAGATACTAATCATCTATAATAAATATTACAGAAAACTTACCCCAAAAGAAGTTATGAACTTTATCGCTGATATATGACAAGAAATTAGTGATACTACTATAAAGAATTGCTGATGAACTATTAGAATTTTATTAGAAATAAGTGGACTAGAAGAAAGTGAACTTGAAGCTGATATCTTAGAGATTAATAATATTATGATACTAGTTAATAATCTTTTGATGAATACTAATCTGATAGCCCAATAATTAGCACAAGATATTGAAAAATACATTTACATGATCAATCAATCAATTAAAACTGAAAATGGATTAAATGATGAAGACATAATTGAAATAATAAAAGCTAAGTTTCATGATAATAATAAAATGAATAATGATGAGCCACTTCCATCATCTTTAATAACTATTACTAAAGCTATTGAAATATTAAAAAAAGTGATAAGATATCAAGAAAGTCTTGAAATAGGAAAGAGATTTGATGAGAAAGAATTAATGATATTACAAAAAAAACTCAAAGAATAGGATTATGAAAAGCAAGAAGCTAAGAAACAAGTCTCACTTATATCTTTTATAAAAAAAATAGATCAATTTTTAAATTAACTTTGAATTATTAAAAAGACTAATTGATTGATTAAATTGACTTTAAAACTTGATTGATACAAGTAATTAGTCTTTAAGATTC